TTCATCAGGAAGGTATAGGAATTTTAAATGTGTAAACAGCAAACAACAGAGCCAGGCGTGGTGTCGCATGCCTATTATCCCAGCACTCGGGAGGCTAAGGCAGGATCATTGCAAGTTCAAGACCAGCCTGGGCTACAAAGTGAGCTGAAGGCCAACCTGAACTGCATTGCAAGACCCAGTCTCAAAAAGACCAAAAAAAAAAAAAAAAAAAAAACCAGCAAACTACAGAGGTATGAATATGTAAAAGGAAAACTGATAGAACTGAAAATAAAATACATGTGCCCACAGTTGTAGTTGGAGCATTTCTTTTTTTTTTTTTTCCTGGTACTGGGACTTGAACTCCCCGACCTTGCGCTTGCCAGGCAGGTGCTGTGCCGCTAAGCTATATCCCCAGCCCATAGTTGGAGCTTTTAAAACCCCTCTCAAGATTTAAAAGCCAAGGAGAAAATCAGCAAGGATATAGTACAGCTCAAAAACTCTGATCACACAATAAAACTTAATTGACATTTATAGAATATTTTCCACCCCCAAACAAAGAATGCACATTTTTTTCTAGCATTCATGAAGCATGTATCAAGACAGAACATATACTGTACTGGGTGCTAAGACAAAGGAACAAATTCAAAAAAACTGAAATGCCAGTGTTAACAAATTAGAATTAGTAACAGAAACAAAACAGGAAAATATTGAAATTGAAGTACTGTAGAAAACTATGATACAATTTTCATAGAAAAAGTTTGAAACACACTAAGTTGAATGAACAAGAAAAGAACATGATCCAAATTTGTGGGGGACAGCTGGATCATTCTTCAGAGGAAAATTTATAACACCAAATCCTTTCTTAGAAAGGAAAAATGTCTGAAATCAGTCATCTAAGCTCCTACCTTAACCAATTTTATAGAAGAGCAAGATAAATCAAAAGCAAAAGCAAACAAAGAAAAAGGAAATAAAGAAGTTGAAAACAAAATAATAATAACAAAATGAAACAAAAATCTCATTTTTATCAACTCCTCACATATGAATTTAACAACAAATAAAATAGGTTGATTTCTCAAAAAGCACAAACTTCCACAACTCACTATAAAAGAAACAATTTGACCATCCTTGTAAGCATTTAAATTGAGCCTGTAATTTTAAAACTCAAAAAATAAATCTCTAGTTTCACTGGAGAATCCTAGTAAACATTCAAAAAATAATACTTGCCACTCACTTACTGAGACCAATACAATCTTGAAAGTAAAACCAGACAAAGATATATAAATAAAGAAAATAGACTAGTATCCCTCACCAATACTGATACAAGTATCTTTAAAATATGAAAAAATTAGATAGTGTCACAAAGTGGGGCTCATGCAAGGAATGCTAGGCTGGTTCAATATTCAAAACTCAATGTAATCCACTATTCTAGCAGGCTAAATTTAAAAAGTCACATAATTATAAAAGGTATTTGACATAATACAACACCTATTCACGATAAAAGTTTGATATAGTCCATAAGGGAAAAAAGTCAATAAATTAGACTTCATTAATATTAAAAGCTTTTAGCTGGGTAGGGTGGTACAGGACTGTAATCCCAGCTACTCAGGAGGTTGAAGCAGAAAGATTGCAAGTTTGAAGCCAGTCTGGGTAACTTAGTAATACCTTGTAGCAAAATAAAAGTTTAAAAAAGGGCAAGGAACTATTGCTTAGCGATAAAGTGCTTGCCTAGCATGTACAAGATCTGTTATAATCCTCAGCTCTGAAAAGAAAAAAAAAATATTTTGGTGCTATGAAAGATCCTGTTAGGAGACTGAAAGGACAAACAATAGATTGGAAAAAAATAATTACAAACCACATATCTCACAAGAGCTGTCTAGAAGATATAAAGAATTCTCAAATTTAACAGTTAGAATACCCCAGTACTCTAGTTAAAATATGGGCAAAAGATACTGAAGAGCTTTTTACTGAAAAGGATGAAAGGAGAGTAAATAAACACATGAAAAGCTGTTCAATATCACTGTGGCCATTAGGAAAATGCAAATTAAAAGTACAGTAAAATATGATGACGTACATATTAAAAGAGGCAAAATAAAAATTAGCAATAATATCAAATCTAGAAATGATGTTGACAAACTAGATTTTTCATACATTACCAGTAAGAATGTATTATGACCTAAACGTACTAGAAGCCAAAAGTGTATTTAGTTTAAAGAAGCTAAATATACACTCATGTGATGCAGTAATCACACTCTTAGCTTCCACCTTTGGAAATGAAAACCTTAGCCCATACAAAAGCTCATACAAAAATACACAGAGCAGATCTGTTCATAAGACATAAAACTAGAAACCACCACATTTTTTTATTCACAGGTGAATGGTTAAATGAACGGTTAAATTATGATATATTCATATCATGGAATATTAATAAGGTATAAAATGGTCTAGTATATATCTCAAGAGTATTAACTGAGTGAAAAAAGCTAAAATAAAAAATTTATATACTATATAATTTCACTGACATTCTCAAAATGACAAAATTACAGGTGAGTCCAAAAGTTTAGTGGTCTCTACACATTATGGATATTGAGGGCAGAAGGAAATGGGTAGGACTGTAACAGAGAAGCAGGAGGACTATCTTTGTGGTGACAAAAATAATTCTGTATTTTGATTGTGGTGGTTTCATAGGCCTACATGGGACAAAATGCCATAAAATGATACACATATATTATGCCAATGTTAATTTACTAGTTTTGATATTATGCACAATTTAGACAATGGTGGAATCTAAGTAAAGAGTACACAGAACATCTGCAGTGTTTTTGTAACTTCTTGTGAGTTTACAATTATTTCAAAATAAGATTTGAAATATATCTATGAATATGTATAATATTTTACGATTTATGCATATATAAAACTTGCTCAAACACTGTGTTCCCCACCACTCTGTTCTAGAGAGAACAATACTATATTATCATCATTCACAGTTATTTGAATTATACACTGCTACACACAAGAACATGATGCCTACTCTAAAATTATCAACTATTTCTTGCAAGACTGAGCCCTCTTCAAAGGAAACACTACATTGGGTTCATTTTATAAATCCCAGCCACCTATGACCATTCCTCACATATTATAGGAATTCAATAAATATTTCTTAAATGAAGTTTGCCAGAAAGTCTACTCTGAATGGAGGATTTGAGTTTGAGGTCATGAGAATGAGGATACTGCTTAGCTTCTGGTGACAAACTTGTAGAGGCTTCATTTTCATGTACTTAAAAAGCCTCCAGGTATTAACAGTGAAGAAAAGACTCCCTGATCATGAAGCTAGAGAAAGATCACTTATGGTTCCAAGAAAAGTTACATGGGGGGAAAATGTCATGATGGAACTTTCAAAGAAAGCAGAATTTAAAGACTATCAGGTACAATCTTTAAGTGAAAGAAAAGTAACTCTAAAAAACAACAGAAAATAAGTTAACATTACTATTGTGTTCATGTGGGATGTATGTTTCCAGTAAGAATATATACAAAGAAAAAATAGTAATTTTGACCAAGGAAGAAACAAGAAGGATACACAAGATGTTACTGAAAAATACAATGAATGTTTAATTCTTTTTAGTTATTACAAGAAAATACACATTGTGGTAGTTCTGCAAATCCTCTTTCATGTCTTTAGTTGCACTGTCATGGCTGCCTCAATGACATAAATCAATTCAAATGTTTACCTTTCATGGTCATTTTGACTGTATGGAAGAAGCAGAAGTTGCATAGCTCTAGATATAGTGAATAAGGTGAATAAAAGACACACTGTACGGTTTCTACAAGCCTGCCTTTCCATTGGATGGCATCTGGCAGTAGCATTCACTATATTTTTGATCACACCTTGTGAAGGCACTCATGAAAGAAGACTTCCAGAACTGCTTCAGAAAATGGTAACAACTGTGGAACAGTGTTTGAGGTAAGGGGGAATATTTTGAAGAGGATTAATAGCAACGTGTCTTTTAGTGTAATAAATTTTTAAAATTTACATTCAGCCAGGGATACAGCTCAGTGGTACAGTGCCTGCCTGGCAAGTACAACACCCTGACTTCAATTCACGGTAGCAAATATAAATAAGTAAATAAACAAATAAATAAATAAACTTTCATTGTTTATTTTGATCAGGCTCCATGTAAGTACTTCCTTATGAAAACTAGCAATTTATTATCTTTAAATGCTATACATACTACATTTTATTGTTTAAAATACAATTATTAGGGGCTGGGGATTTAGCTCAGCGGCAAAGCACCTGCCTGGCAAGCGCAAGGTCGTGAGTTCGGTTCCCGGTACAGGAGAAAAACCAAAAAAAAAAAATACAATTATTTATGTTTTATTAGTAATTTTTCCTAAATATATTAAGCTAGCAATCTTTAGGATTGCATGCAAAATTATGCTGGGCAATTTGAGCTAAAGCAATTTAAAGCTAAGCAACTTAGCTTTTGAAACACTGGTCTTAGAGAATTGTTAAGGGAAGAACAATATAAATGTGGTTAAGCCTGTGAGAATTGGTAATTAAACAGGTAGTAGTACTTCATGAGAAAATTAAATTGAGAGGATTTCCATGACTTATTATATTTGATATTCTGTCAGCAAGACATAAATAGGGAATGATCAGCTAATCACAGCTCTTCTCAGTCTGATTCCACAACCTGAGCTCTCAAGTTCTCACCTACTGCTTAACATTCTCTATAATGACATCGAAAAACAAAGCATTTTGTGTAATGTTAATATAATTTAAAAACATTATCTTTGAAATCCATCAAAAGCTCCATCTGATTGCTCAGAAGTAGATACTTTAACCTAACATGAAAGACAAGGTAATCTTGTAGATCTACTACACAGGACAGGAATTTACTTAGCAGTCATTGCTGGTATGCAACTTGAGCAAGCCAAAATCCTTCCCTACAAATCTTTGACAGTAATGACCCAGCCATTTTATACTTCAATTTACAGACATTGCTGAAAGAAGAGGTAGGACTTACCAATCGTAATCCAGTCGAGACTGATGAAGCTGCTGCTGTTTCAGTATAAGCTTTGTCTCTTGTTGAGCTAGCAGATGCTGAAGGCGCTCTTTTTCAATTTCTAGCTCTATTTTCTGAAGCATCAGTTGTTGCCGTCTATCTTCTGAGAGTTGCTTTTTGACTTCAGTTTCACTAGGCTGCAGTGCTCCTTTACTATGCGTAATAGATGCCCAAGAAAGCCCACAATAACTGCATGATTCTGGATGTGTCTTACAATATTGAAGGGCCATGTTTGTAGGATGGATCTCATGAACATGATCTTCATTTTCAGAAAGTCTGTGACTACAACCCTGCCTAGATGGAGTAGGCTTAAGGTGTGGACATTCCTTCATCTTCAGTTCTTCTGGTGGAGCTATTTCTGTTGGGGCTGCATTCACTGGTTTTCTCCCTGGAGATTCATAATTACATGTTCTTATCTCTGATGGCAGCCTCTCCAGACCTTCCCTGGGATGAGAGAGTGTTGTCGGTTTCAAAGAATTATTCCTAAACTCCATAATGGATTCTGAAGCTGAGTTCCGGCTTGCAGACTTGGGCCTTTGCTTGGTTTGATAGTGCGTTTGTGGTTTGGCTACACTCAAGTAGGAGCCATCCAGTTCCACAGATGAAGACTGGAGAGTACTTTTCCTATTGGTTATCTAAAAAGAACCACAATGTCACATGTCAAATAAGAATGCAATAAAACAAGTTCTTTTGATTTTTTCAGAACTTAAGAATATATGTTCATTTAAAAACTCCCATTCTGTCTTCTTAAACAACAACATTTGCATAGCTAAACAGACATGCCACAAAGCTATATCCATCTGTAGGTCTAACAGTCTACACTTAAGCAAGTCTACAAAAGGACTAGAAAAATATAGGGTTGCTACATGGTCTTTAAGTAAGATCTTTGGTGATTTTAGGAGTTGCAAATAATGAATGTTACCTAAAATCAACTTTGACATTAAGCAAAAGCATTGAATTTTAATATCTAAAAATGTTTCCTTTTATATACTGAGCCAAGAATCCATTCAGCCACCTTAAATACGCTTTGATTGCCCATTACACAGAATGAGATTTGATGTAAAACATTTCACCTTATATATTGAATAGGATGTTACTGCTAGAAATTTCAAGAGTTTTTATAAATATCTTTACAGAACACAGATGAAACTGCTTTGAACAAGACAATTTTAACCAAAAGCTTCTATTTAAATACAAAATATATAATCTAATTCATTTCTGCTACAAACTTAAGGGATTTTTTTTTCACTTAAGCTTTTTGAGTGGTTATAATCTGATGGAACTGGGGCAGAAAGGAAACAGTTGCAAATCACCACTTATAGATCAACAGAATGAACTTTTCCACCAATTTAGCTGTAAGTCTGTTCTACCACCGAGAAAGCAAACCTTAGTCCCTATCAATCATTCTCAAACTTTAACAAGTATCAGAAGTACCCACAGGGCTTGTTAAACATGAAATGCTGGCTTCATCCCAAGAGATTCCAACTCTGGAGCAGAGTGAGATACTTTGCATTTCTAACAAGTTCCCAAATGATGCTGATCTGGAACCACACTCTGAAAACCATAGCTCTTTGTCCTCAACTATCTACATCTGCTGAACTGTTGGCCTTGGGAGACTGAGTTGTTATACTTCACTCAGCTCTGAACATCACTGATTCAGCAGAACAAATAAGCAGCTTTTCTTCACAATGTATTTCAGTAACCTAAGGTATCTAATTACAGGTTGGCCAACTGGAAATATTCTTGTATAAAACACTGTTAAGTGTGTAATAGATAGACAACTTGCTCATGAAGGCAGATAATTGGGATTAACAAAATAATAATGAAAGGAATTAATGTAGACTCTAAAATTGTATTGATGGGGGGGATATGCTTCTGAAAATGCTGAAAATGAATCCAGCTAATGATCAGATTATTAGAGCGATAGCCCTCTAAAATTTTAATGCTTCCCTGTAGATTATATCTTTGGTATAAGAAAAGGGGGCTGCCTTGTCCAATTATTTAAACCAACAAGATGGGTTGTCCAAAAATATATTACGTCTAGCAGCAGTTACTTCTTTATAAGTGCCAGAGTACAATATTTAATACAGAAGCTGAAAGGAGAAAATTGCCCACTTTTGGAGAAACTTTGTTTTCCAACCTGGACTTTATACCGAAAGATTAAAAACAAGAGAAAGAAACTAGGCAAACAAACAAGAAAAACATTTAAAATATCCTTGACAGCTTCTACTCTCATCTTTCTCTTCCCCCAGGCTTTCATTCAAAGCCAATTTACATTAAATCATTACTTCCTTTCTATTTTTTATCTCTTTACAAACAAATCCAGAATGCAATCATGTAATGAACACTAATATTAACAAAAATCCTTCTTAATCTTCTATCCATCCCCACTGAAATGTGCTTTTACTTTTATGAAGTTATTTACAAGCTGAGAGAAGCTTATTTGCTCAAGGCTACAAGTGAAATATGACATTTCCAGTAAGCTAATATATAACAACTTTGATATTAGCTTACTGTTTCTTCTGTAACAAATTACCACAAACTTCATGGCTTAAAACAACAAAAATTTATTCTCTTACAGTTTTGGAAGTTAGAAATTAGAAAACCATTTCATGGGCTACAGTCATGGTGTTGGCAAGGCTTGTTCCTTTGAGAGACTCTACGAGAATCACTTTCCTTGCCTTTTTCAGCCTCTAGAGGTTACCTGATTTACTTGGTTTGTGGCCTTTCCTCCACAGTGAAAGTGCAATCACTGCAACTTCTGCTTCCATCAAATTGCCTTTTCCTGATTCCTCCTATTTCTTTCTTACTAGTATCATTTGAATTTTACAGGGGTCCATCCAGGTAATCCAGGATGATTTCTCATCCCAAGATTTTTAATCACATCTGCAGAATCCTTTGCATTACAAAGTCCACTGTGCCACATAATGTGACATTCACAAGTTCTAGGAATTAAGACATATGCATATTTGTGGGGAAGGGGTGCATTATTCAGTCTACCACAATGTCTTTTTAAATAAAACCAATATATAAACAGTGGAGATGGTTGTTTATTCTAGAAACACAGAATGAGGAATATTGAGATGCCTGGTAGAAGAGGGGAAAATCATTTTACTTTGTAATAACTGAAAATGGTAAACTGATAGGGGTAAAAAAGTGTTAACTAACAAACACACACAATACACTATTTCCCATTGTATGATGAAGAGGGATATTACAGTACTCTAAAGATTTTAACTGAGTTTCTAAAACAATGGTAAAGTGTTTCCATTAAATGAAAATGAGTCATATCTAGGTAGAAGACAGTCCTCTGCAGAGGACATGTAATCCTATATCTCAAGCTGATGACTAGCTACAGACTATGAGCTAGTCCTAGACCAAATATCTCATAAACTACTTCATAAAAATTTAATCTTATTTTACCCCTAAAGAGAGACTCTAGTTGATATTCCTTCCCACTTTAAACTTCTATAGTACTTAATGTCAATACAAATATTTAACAGTTATCATCTAGTATTTTGTATGGTTAAGGTTTACATAGAATTACTGTACTTTATGTGCATTATTATATAATAGAAAAAGTATTATGTACTACTTATAGTCTCATTTTTGTTTAACATTATTTACATACATGCATTTTTAGGTACAGATGCATCTTATACTTTAGTGATATTATTAAATTACTCATAAATAGATATTTGGAATATTTCTAAAATTGATTGTAGGTATTTAACTTTTTATGCTTTTGAGAGGTAATACAGCAATGAATTTGATATCTGGTTTGCTCAAAGAAAACATTAATTTTGAGAAGATGTTTGGTGTAGGTGGCAGGCTTAGGCCAAAAGCTGATAATCAAAAAAGACATTCATTCTTCAGATGTAAGAGACTAACTTTTACCAACAACTCAGTGAGCTTGGAAGAGAACCTTGAGCTTCCAGATAAGAATGCAGTCCTGCTGATATATAGAGGGCAGCACTATTGAAACTGAGCAGAGGACCCAACTAAGTTGTGCCCAGACTTATCGCCTACAGAAATTGTGAGATAATAAATGTGTGTTGTTTAAAATTGCTAAGCTTGTAGGAACTTGTTATACTAACAAAATATAGCATATTACTCAACTTGGCTAAGCCGCAGGTTCCTCATTAGTAAACTTAACAGGGGTTGAAAAGAAGAACTATATCAAAATTGAATGTGGAGGTTAGTTAGATGGGCAGTTATTACTAGTGCCAGTTTATAAGGGTCCAATTTACACAATGAAAAAAATCTTTATTCAAATTTTTATTCAAACTTCTTTCAAGGACATTGTGTGGAGAGAGAGAGAGACAGAAAAAGAAAGAGAGAGAAGGAAGAGGGAGAGATCAGATTCCTCAAAGAGCATGAAACATTTTATCTCTAAATTATCTTTTAATAAGAACAAGTTCAGTTACTATCCTAACTTGGTAAAGTGGAATTTGCAAGACAGGTCAGTATTGAAATTGCTTGAGATAATAGGTTCTTCTTCTCCTTTCTCCTTCATACAAAAGATATCATTGTTTTTTTTTTTTGTTTTTTTTTTTTTTGGTTTTGGTTTTTCTCCGGTACCGGGGACCGAACTCAGAACCTTGCGCTTGCCAGGCAGGCGCTTTGCCGCTGAGCTAAATCCCCAGCCCCAAAAGATATCATTCTTATGCTAGTATCCTGCATTGCTGTTAAGAGTTGTTGTCCTGATTAAATGAGTTAACTTATAATAAAGAGTGTTGGGATCATGCCTAACATAACATCAGTATTCAAAATGTTTCTCGTTATTGTATTATTCTTGTCATTGATTTCTTTGTCTCAACAACTTTTGAAGACAAGGGCTATATTTATCTCTCTGTATAGGTAAGGGTTGCACATGTACATTCTCAATAAGCATCAGCTGACTGAACCAGCTTAGCAGAAAAATTCAAGTTGGTTTCTGGGTCATAACAACTAGAGAAAAGAAAATTAGAATGTGTGACTAGTCTGAATCATGTAAAAGAACAAGGGAGGACAAACAATAATTTAAAAAAACCTCCCTGTTAGAGTCTGAATACAGTGATACCTTGGTTGCCCAATGGCTCCAAGCTCAAACTTTCCACTACTAAAATAGCAAACTTCAAAAACACCTGCTCAGTGTTCGTAACTTTGCTAGATAGTTAAGCTGAAAATCTGACTTGAAATAACCTGTGTGGGCTGGGAGTGAGTCACGTGTCACATTTCACCCAGGACACAAAGTGGTGACACTTCAGTCTAAGTGTGGCTCACCCAGACAACATATAGTGCTTGTGTTAGTGTGTTAAAAGATCCCTGCTTTTTTTTTTGCTTTATTTGTATAAAATATTGTATCCATGGCTCCAAAGAAAGTTAGTGATACAAGCAGCAAAACTAAGAGGAAAACTGTGAGAACCACAATATGGTTAAAGAAAGAAATGATTCCAAAATTTGTTAAAGTCCTGGAAAAATGAGTTTATAAGTGTAAGTTTGGGTCTCAGAACCAGTTATTTGGGTTTCCTAAAAGTATGCTCAAATGTCCAACTTTCTGATGTTTGAACATGAATTTGGAATGACCAAAGCAAATCCAAAATCCAGCAGGGCAAACATTAAGTCCTGTAGTTCCATGTGCAGCATCTGAGGT